GTAATAGAAAATGAAGGTGAGATGGTACATTATGCTTTCTATGCAGATGTCGAACCCGTTAATGCAGCTGAAGCATTGAAGGATTCGAAGTGGGTGAAAGCAATGAACGAAGAAGTGAAGTCTATCAAATACAACAACACTTGGTCACTTGTCGAATTGCCTCAAGGCAAGAAGGCAATTGATGTCAAGTGGGTATACAAAGTGAAAACGAATTCGAAAGGTGAAGTAACTCGACACAAAGCAAGGCTTGTGGCAAAAGGATTTCTACAGAAAGAAGGAATAGACTTCGATGAAGTTTTTGCACCTGTTGCTAGGATCAAAACAATCAGGTTGGTTGTTGGTCTAGCAGAAATAAACAGTTGGCACATATGTCAGATGGGCGTGAAGTGTGCATTCCTAAATGGACCCTTAGATGAAGAAGTCTATGTTAAACAACCAGTTGGGTTTGTGAATCATGACGAAGAAAGAAAGGTGTACAGGCTGCATAAAGCCTTGTATGGATTGAAACTCCAAGAGCTTGGAATAAGAAAATTGATAGTTTCCTAAGGGAAAAGGAATTTGTAAAGTGCACAACTGAACATGGAGTATATGTAAAAAGAATCAATAGTGAATTGCTTATACTATGTCTCTATGTAGATGATTTGTTGATAACAGGTAGCTGTAAAAGTGAGATCGAATACTTCAAAGATGATCTCAGAAAGAAATTCGAAATGTCTAATTTGGGTGAGATTTCACATTTCCTTGGCATCAAATTCTACAAGAGCAGTAGAGGTTTGATTATGCATCAAAGAAGATATGCAGGAGAAATTCTCAAGAGGTTTGAGATGGAAGAATGCAACTCAACTTTGACACCTACAGAACCAAGACTGCAACTGTCAAAAGATGTAGATGAAGATGATGTTGATCCAACCCAATACAGAAGACTTATTGGATTATTGAGATATATTTGTCATACAAGGCCTGACTTAGCATATAGTGTAGGTATGGTAAGTAGATTCATGCATAAGCCAAAGGTATCACATCTAGCAGCAGTGAAGAGGATACTAAGGTATCTTAAAGGAACTTTCGGCATTTTGTTTCCTGTAGCTGATAAAGGAAAAGAATGCAAGTTAGTGGGTTACACTGATTCAAGTTGGTGTAGTGATGCTGAAGATCAAAAGTCAACAGCAGGATATGTGTTTATGCTAGGTGGTGCACCAGTTGCATGGAATTCAAGAAATGAACCAGTAGTGGCATTATCATCATGCGAAGCAGAATACATAGTTACTTCTCTTTGTGCATGTCAAGCAACTTGGATGGTGAACTTGGTCAAAGAGATAACAGGGAAAAATCATGGAGCAATTACCATGAAGATAGACAGCATGTCATCTATTAATATGGCGAAGAACCCAATAGCACATGGTTGAAGTAAGCACGTCGAAATGAGGTTCCATTATCTTCGAGAGGAGGTAGCAGATGGGAAGTTGAATTTGGAACACTGCAGAACCAAGAATCAGATTGCAGACATCATGACGAAGGGAGTAAAAGTCGAAGTATTCAAAAGACTAAGAGCTATGATAAACATAGATAGTTTAGACACAGTGAATTAGGTGGTGTGTTAAATTGTAATTCAATGTGTCGAAACTATGTGTCGAAAAGATTTGATTTGTTTTAGATTTAAATAGATTTGATTTAAGTCTAGAATAAATTAGATTTGATTTAGTAACAAAAAGATATTTTGGGCTTTGGACTTAGGGTGTAAGCTCAATTATAAATAGAGGGAGTAACTCCTATTTTTGTAAGCAAGTCAATAAAGTTGTATTCACAGAATTTGCAGTTGAAAGTGAATAAGAAAGTTTTCACAGTTTGTGAGCAGAGAGAAACTCTGCAGAAATAATTTGTCTTGTCTTTGTTTCTTTGTTTGTCTCATAATTAAATTGTCATTGTGGTATAAATTCATCATAGACTTTGGTGGATTTTCAACAATTATCAGGTGAATCCTCTTCGTCTTGGTACTCTAATTCGGGGGCTTCCAACCACATGATCAGCAATGCCCAATTTCTTATTAATATTAAAAAATATTTTGGAAATCTCAAGATACATATTGCTGATGGAAATCAATTTCGTATCACAACCACTGGTGATATTTCTTCATCTTTAACAAATGTTTTTGTCTCTCATGGTTTAACTAGTAGTCTTATTTCAGTTGGTCAATTAGTAGAGAATTATTGTCACGTACAATTCTCATAATCTGGTTGTCTTGTGCATGACCAACAACTAGGGAAGATAATCGCAAAGCAGGCTAAAGTTGGACGTAATTTCTCAATTCAGTTCTCATTGCCTCCAAGTCTTTCTTTGCCTTTAGTTTCATGCAGTTTCTGTATTGTTGATTAACAAGTGATGCAAAAGCATCATGGACATTTAAACACAAATGTACTTCATGACTTGCTAAAATCTAGTTTTTTTGGAAATAAACACATTTTGTCTCTTAATTATGTTCATTTTGATTTTATTCCTTGTAAGCTTGGTAAAAGTAAAATTTTGCCTTTTCCAACACATCAGTCTAATGTAACACAACATTTGATATCGTCCATAATAATGTTTGGGGCGTGGCACTCATTATTTTCCATGCTAATTACAAATATTTTGTAACTTTTATTGATAATTATAGTCGTTTCATGTGGGTCTATTTTCTCCGATCAAAAGATGAAGTCTTTTCCACTTTCAATTTTTTCATGCTTATATTCAGACCCAATTTTCATCAAAAACAAAAATATCTCACTCTGACAATGGAGTGGAATACATGTCACACTCATTTCAGGAATTTTCGCAATCAAACAGCATTATATTACAAAGTTCATACCTCTTAACTCCACAACAAAATAGAGTATCGAAAGAAAAAGTTGTCATTTGCTCTATGTTGCTCGCACACTTTTTTGTTGGAGTCTCATGTGCCTTCACGATTTTGGTGTGAAGTCCTTTCCACCGTTGTCTGTATTATAAAGAGAATGATATCTTCATCAATATGTAACAAATCCCCTTTCATTCTATTATATGGTCACTCACCAAATTACTCAATTCTTCAAAATTTCGATTGTGTGCATTATGTTCATCTTACTCCACAAGAACGCACTAAACTCACTACACAATCGGTTGAATGTGCTTTTCTTGGATATTATACACATCAAAATGGCTTTCTATGTTATGATCTTAATCTCCTTAGGATAAGTGTATCTAGAAATGTCATTTTCCAAGAAAATATATTTTTGTCACATCATGACCTCATGTGTTCTCCAGTGTATCCTTTGCCATTGTTTTCTAACTCTCATTCAGTTTTACAATCTTATAAACCTTTTTTTACCGACAAAAGACGTAATACTTCCACTCAAAATCAACCAACGGACGGGCCCCCTCAAGATAATTCCTTGGTTGTTGGTCCAGTAGAAGAAGAACCAAAATCAGTTCCTCTACGACGCAGCTCACGCGACAGGAAATCCCCAAAAAGGTATATTAATTACATGACAACATTATTTTTCTTCTATATTATTCCTTCATCCTATAAATAAGCTGTGAATAATGATTGTTGGTAGAAATTTATTAAAACAGAACTTCTGGCTCGAGAAAAAAATCAAACTTGGGATATAGTGTCATGTCCCTCATCTGTTAAACCTTTAATCAATAAGTTTGTGTTCTCTGAGAACGTGCGGTCAAATGGACCCATAGATCGATACAAAGCTCATTTAGTTATGCTTGAAAATAAGTATGAATATGGACTAGACTATAATAAAATGCTTGTTCCAATTGCCAAGATGACAACCATCCGTATGATTCTTGCTATTGTTGCGTTACAAGCTTGGCCAGTCCATCAAATAAATGTCAAAAAAAGGAAGTTTACTTCAAACTTCCTAATGGTACTCCAACACATTCACCTAATACTACTTGCAAACTAAAACAGTTTTTATATGGAATGAAATATGCAAAGAGTATGGTTTGAAAAGTTTCAATCGACACTATTTGGTATTGAATTCAATCAAAGTCAATACGATCCATCTCTTTTACACAAAGGACTCCTAAAGGCATTGTGGTGCTTCTTGTATGTGTTGATGACATTGTCTTAGATGGTTTTGATCAAGATGATATTTCTAGAATCAAACACAGGGAGCAATCAACTTTTTAAATGAAAGAGTTAGCCCATCTCACTTATTTATTGGGTTTAGAGGTACATTAGCATTATGGTGTTTTTCTAAATCAACAAAAGTATATTCAAGACTTAGTCCAGCTAGTTGGACTCAAAAATGCAATCCCTATAAACACTCCCAAGGAAGTTAATGTTAAATATAGAAGAGCTGAAGGTTATCTTCTTGATGATTCCACTCAATATTGCAAACTAGTAGGAAGCCTTAGATATTTCTTTTGTTGCACACATAGTTAGTAAGTTCATGCAAACTCCACAACATTTCCATCTTTTAACAGTAACAAGAATCACTAGATACCCTTGACACTCCAAAGCATGGTTTAAATTTTTCCTTGTTGATTCATCAATCAAACTCCAAGCATACTGTGATATTGTTTTGGCTAAATGTCCAGAGACAAGAAAATCTACTACTGACATCATTAGTACCTGGTGCCTTACGACCTTTTATTAGACATCGGTGAGTTTTCCTCACACTACATAATGTGTTGAAGCACTTAGCCACAACCTCTTTTATTTTCCTTTCATCGTAGCATAATCCCTTAGGCCTTTTCCGCTTATTTCTCCATGCATTTCTTAACAACCATATCAGTCTTACATACTTTTAAAACTACATTAGAATTGGATTTTAGTTTAGTCGTATGAAGACTAAGATGAACTAAACCACGGATTCTAAAATAACATAAAAAGGTATAGCAAATATAAGCTGAGGCATGAAATTATATTAATCAGAGTGAAGAGCTATACATCCTCCAACGCCAGTCCTAACTAATCTCAAATACGAACAATTACCAGGAAATAGCATAAAACAAAAACACTACACGAGAACCTAAAATTCCTGACTAACAGAACCAATCAGATCTTTCCCTTTTCCAGCAACTTTCTTAGGCAACAAATTCTGATGAATATTAGGCAAAACACCTCCATTAGCAATAGTAACAGATGCCATCAACTTGCTCAACTCCTCATCATTCCTAACAGCAAGTTGAATGTGTCTTGGTACAATCCTCGTCTTCTTGTTATCCCTAGCTGCGTTACCAGCAAGTTCCAAAACCTAAACCACCAAAATCATTGGTTATTTGAGAAAAAACACAGCAATAGAATGGTAATATCAAAATCACATAACTAACAAAGTTTACCTCAGCGCAAAGGTATTCAAGAACGGCAGAGAGGTAAACTGGTGAACCAGATCCAACACGTTGAGCGTAACGACCTGCTTTAAGGAACCGAGCAATACGGCCGACGGGGAACTGGAGACCGGCTTTGGTTGATCTTGAGACAGATTTGGTTTTTGGTTTGCCTCTTCCACCTTTCTTTGTTGTTGCCGGTGTACCTGTTGCCATTGCGCCTTTTTTATGAATTCTTGTAAGAGATTGTGTTGTTGTTAATTGTGATGTTGTGGAAGTTTGAGTGTTTCGCTTTGATTTATATAGGGGTTAGGTTCTTCATTTGGATTGGCTTAGAGGCTATCACGCGGATCGCCAGCGTGGCAGGTTAATGGAAATTTGAGTTTCGAGCGGGAATCCAAAGTTATTCATTGCATTTATATTATTGGAATATAGCACTAAATGCAAATGTAAACAACAAAAACAAACAAAGGATGAATGAGTAATTAGAATATACTCCATGAAATATGATAATAAATTAACTAAAATACCACCTCATTTCTTTAAAATATTTTATACATATTTAGTGTCGACTTATTGTTGAATACTATTTCATCGGTTACATATTATAAATTAAATATATTAATTATTAAATAAATTTAAAAATATAAAATTTATTTATAATATATGACGGAGTAATATTTGATAAGAAATTTGGAGATATATATTCACAAGTGAAAGAAACATATTTAGTTTAACATATTCATTTAATTTGACTTGTGCTTCATAAAAGTGATTAGTTATAGGTGAATTTCGTTGCACAAATAATTAAGGATAGACAAGTAAATTTATTGTATTATATCATCTAAAACTGAATCGAATCACAAATAAATTTATTTTTGGATCAGATGAGTTTTTGCTTTAAAATCGATCCAAACTGAACCGTGAACACACCTAATAAAGGTGACTTACACCACACAATATACAGGAGACTCTCAAAACCTAAAGCTTATGATTCCCCTAATTTTACAATTATTGAAAAACTCAAATTACATTAGGTTAGGATTCTCATTTAAATGCACCTCTGCAGTCCATGGGTTTCGATACTTTGAGTCTAAAAGTTTATTGGTCCACAAGCTGAGTAATGCACAAATTGTGTAGCAAATCTCCTTAAATCTTGGAGCAATCCATTCAAAGTTTACTAAATTGTCTCAAGACCCAATTTAGTAACCAATGTATAGTTGGAGATGCAAAACCTTTTTCCAGATAAAATCTTCTTGACCTGCAAAATTTACTGAAACATATCCAAAGGAAATATTCCATAATCAAATCAAATATGATAGGGGAATAAAACCACAACACAAGCTGCATGTTGATCATGTAAACTTTATAAAAACAACACAGATCAGAAATCTTGTACAATAATCAGACATGTTTATTACTCCCTTTGTCATACACGATCAGTCCCCCACTCAAGGAAAGAACCTACATCAGAACACATGTAGTAGAATAACATAAGCAGCAACAACAGCTTCAGTACACACAAGCATGAACACTCATGCTCCCCCTCAAAAACACACAGCTGCTCTCACATAAGCAATATCTACAAGCTGTGTGATGCACCAATTGTGTAGCAAATCTCCTTAAATCTTGGAACAACTAATGCAAAGTTTCCTAAATTTTCTCAAGGCCCAATTTAGTAACCAATGTACAACTGGAGATACAAAACCTTGTTCCAGATAAAATCTTCTTGACCTGCAAAATTTACTTAAACAAATTCAAAGGAAATTATCTAGAATCAAATCAAATATGCCAAGATTTAAAACAATATTGTCTACTGTACTTGCAGTACCAAATCAAGATGCCATGACGTTTATTTTTGACATCTGACTGAAAACACATAACAATAAAACTATTATGACAGTTGATAAAGATGATGCAACATCTTACTCAACAACAACATATAACCATGTTTAGAATCATGCTTAGCCAAAATTTAGCCAACCATAAAAACATGGAACTAATAATATCTTTTGTTTTCTTTTTAAAAGATAAGGTACCATGTACGTCAAGAACAAAAGGAAGCGTGTCACTTGCTTTGGTGATAGGACATTGTTTTTCACTTGTTAATTGTGTTGTTTGAAAGAATGTAGATTAGTGTGTTGGTCAAAAAATAAAGAGGTCTCAGAAGTTAGGGACGAGGCAGGACAGCAAGTTGAAAGCCTTACAGGTGTTCTAAATCAAACCATAACCAATAGTGTAGTTGTCTTATGTTAAATAGTTTAAGTGTTGTGCCATGTCACATCCACCCTTATCTTTGGAAGTGGTTTAGGATTATTAATTATGTGTGGTGTTGGTAGATTAAGTGTAATTGTTGTTGGTTGCATAAAAATTATTTTTCTAATAAATCATTTCCATCATAGTTGAGTTTGTGATAAAAAATGAGTTGTTGAAATTGTTTGAAAATTTTGCATAAACTTGACTAATAATGAAAAAATGCACTAGTGTGACTTAGTGACGACTATCAAGAATCTAGATGTTTGATAAGTACATATAAGGTAAGCTAGTTTGTTAGACCATAAAATGAAAAAAGGACTATTCTAAGTTAAGTTTAGGTGAGGAAAAAATACAAATAGCTTACTTACAATAAAAATGGGCTACTGCGAGTGAATACAAGTATAAAAAATAAAAATATAAATATGAATAGTGTCAATGTACTTGAAACTAGAAGGATAATTGGGTATTCTAGTTATATTAAAAGTGAGATCTCGTCAAGTGAAAAGATAGAGTACCTAGCAAGATAGATGATATAAATGAAAGTAGAATCTCCACGAGTGTAATAAAATAAAAGGCCTAAGTTTCATAAAGTAACAACTCTTTTTTTATACTAAAACTTAGATTCATTCTTGGAACAATGAAAGGTGACAACCAACTAGGCAGTGTGGTAAAGGTACATTGGGTGTCATGGATTACATGCGCAAACACACATGATGAAAATCAAAGGTTTATTGTAAGAGTTGTGCCAGTTTTTTAAAACAATTCGAACTTGAAAATTTTATCTCATAACTATGTTGCTCTCGTTAGAATGTTTTTTATATAACAATAATTATTTATGCAACCTCTGTGTAATCACTTGAGGACATGTAATGATTTGATTTTGGGGTGTGATAAATCCATCTATGTGAGTTATTATAATCTCAAATAGTTGAACTCATCACTTGTATCTTAGGTGAACAATGTTAATTTTATGTGATTTTAGTCATTTAGTGGTGTTTTGTAAATGAGCACATTAGGTATTATGTGTTTGGATTTCACTTGGTTTTTAATGTGTATTTGTATTTCACTTGGTTTTTAATGTGATTGATTAATTCTTATGATGAACGGTGTCAAAATAGTAATTGAATAATGATTCCTTATAGGTTTAAGTATCAAAAGATGTTGATTGAAGTCGTGACACTTAAGCAATAGTTGAATTAAAGAAGATTCTAGAAGATGGGGGAATAATGAGCTAACAAAAAACAAATAAGGATAAATGATGCAATAAGGAATGGAAGTTGCCACCCATGTGCAGCGTACTATCATAGTACTGCCTCCAAAGATTGATCATTCTTTATTTTGGGGACAAGGTTATTGGATAAAATGGTGTTGTCTGGAGGACTAAAAAAGAGAGCTATAAATAGGAAGAAAACCTTAAATCAAGGATATTTTGGAGTAATTTGCAAAAAGTAAAAGAAAGCAACAAACTAGAGTTGTTATCACCATATCTCCTCCATATCTTGTTATGTGCAAGTTGATATTGAGAGGCATGACACCAAAGGTCACATGCAAATGGAAGATTCAAAGGGATTATCGTTGCTTGTTAATATTAACATTTTTATTCATACTTGTTTAAGATTTTGTAATCTAATATCTTAGTACTATGTATTTTCTTTGCTCACTATGAGTTAATTCAATTTGTTGAATAATATGAAGTTTCATGAGAAAATAGTCTTTTAATTATGAATGAATGTGGTTTAAGTCATGTTTAATTATTGTGTTTTATTTACATATGTTTAATTATGAATCTTACAATCTTAGGATTGAATAAAAGTTTATTAAGTTGTGGTAGTGTTTGATAAACAAATTTTGTTTCGCTAAGGAACTAATTTTTTTTGGAGATTGAAGATTGTAGATTGCAATGGTGGACTTGAGCATCTGGTACAATGAGAATGGTATTGTCCTATAAGGTTATAAATCCAATGTTTAAGTTAATATAAGAGTAAGATAAGTGAATTAAATTTGAATCTGAATTGTACCTGGAAAATGATGTGCCTCCTCTTTATATAATAAAGTAGTTATATAACAACCTACTAAACTTTTTGGCGTAGGATGCGGGGAACGTTGGATGAATCCTAAATTCGGATCTCCTGTTATCTGACCCAGTATAATATTCATGCTCTGCGAGTGGTTTAATAGATTATTGCTTCTCTAGGACACAAATGTAGAGCCTTTTGACCGGCCCATAATAGTTACCCTTCCCTCAAACCCTTGCATTTGCTTTACAATGATAAGGATTTGTTACATTTGTCCTTTCCAGTCGACCACAACCCAACATGAGTGGAAACCCAAAAGGTGACGTTGATGTTATTAGGAATTCACACCTTAAATGCGTCTCATTCTTCATATTTCTTTTCGTAGGTTCTTATTATAATGAACTTTGGAAACTGAAGTACTTGAGTGTTTTCCTGAGGTGGTTTAGACCGTTGATAGTGCTTATGATCCTTCTTTTGGTAAGTCATAATATGATCTATGTGGAGTCATTTATACTATTTTTTAAGGTGCTACCCTAAATGTGTCTCATTCTTCAAATGTCTTTTTGTAGGTTCTTATCATAATGACCTTTGGAAACTGAAGCACTTGAGTGTTTTCCTAAGGTGGTCTAGACCGTTGATAGTGCTTATGATGCTTATTTGGGTAAGTCATAATAATATCTATGTGGAGTTATTTATACTATTTTTTAAGGTGCTACCTTTGTCCTTTCTGTCACTTGTATTTCCATAAATACTATTTTCTTTAGTCAAATGAAGTGGTGCCTACCATGAGTCCAAAATTGGAAGAGTTTGCTTCTACCTCTTAGGTTGATCTTGTCATTTCAATAACTAGTTTTACATTTTTTTCTCTTGAAGGTAGTCTCAATAGGGTCTTCCTCATTGTGGGTCCTTCTTTAGATTTGGGTTAGTGATCCACGGGAAAGATAA